GCTAATTCTTGTCACCTCAATGGGAATATGCAGCAATATTAGCTTCTATAGGGAGCAAATGGACCTCCCAAATCCAAAAATACAATCAGATTTCAAAAATTTAAATTTTGATTTTTCGAATTTCTGCCGCCGACTGTGACCTTGCCGACTTCCGGCGCTCCCAACGCGCCATTTCTAGAGCTAGAGAAACGAAATACATACCAAACGATAGAAAATTGATCAAGGAACACGATAGTGAAGGTTTCAAGTCGATATCTACCACCGTTTTGCCGCAATCGCCGCCGAAAGTTGAAAAAGTCTATTTTTCCGAAAATTTGACCTTTGACCGGTCAAAAGTAGGTCAAATGTTGACCTAGGACCAAAAAATATACCACCAATCGCGAGATCTCGTTGAGAGCAATCCGTTGGTTTTTTCCGCTAAGCTCTACGACCTTCCGTTTCGAAACGCCAGGGGGGGGGTCGTAACAACCCCCCCCCCCTGGTCGTTCGTGTTATGAGAAATGGCCTGGTCGTGCGAGGGTTAGTATACGTTATACGTTAGCGACTGGGAAACCACCAATAGAAAGGCTACAGTGAAGCAGAAAACTATTCGATAGCTCTTTTAACGCTCTTTCGCTAGCTTCGCGTTAGATTTCATCTCAGGTCTATGTTTGGCCCATAAGAAGGCAAACAGCTAACTGGACAGATTCTGTCGAAACATCTGCTTTGCAATAACTTTCGATTCTGTGAATTTGTATGGTATGTACATATGTTGTCTTGTCACCACCGTCTTGATCTCTTTGAGACGCGTCACATGAGTTAAAATTTGACCATTCAGAATTAACGTTAAAACGACCTCAGGTCAACGTTATGTCCTGATCGAAAAAGGACCTCCTGCTGCATATGAATGGATCCGTGTTGTTGAGCTGAACAGTGAACACCTTCCAGGTGCTGTCATCGCTCTACCGCGTCTTCGTCAAAAGTTGTAGAAAAAAAAATGTTGGTGGCCATCGATGGACATTTCCACTAATGACCTTTCGAGTCATCACTCGCCATAAGTTGCACCCTGTCCCTGGCAATGATGAGCTGATTTGTCATGGCTCCAAAGATATTTTGCGTTTCTGACGAACTTTTTCAAAGCAGGAGGCATTCGTGCTTTTTCTAATTTCTCATTATTTTCTAATGATGAGGTCACGTATTTGACCTGCCTTCTGATCATAGATGTAAATCCTCAATTAGAATCATGAATTGCTGACACGTATAACCCCATACATTAGGTACCTATACGGTATACAGTGTACCAAATTTCGAAGTTATGGGAGAAAAGCTACAAGAATGGCGAGAGGGGAAAGTTTTTATAGAGGTATACCGTATAACTGAACTTGACATGGCGACCTGGCCTTAAGTGACCAGTGATAATTTTTACGCAAGTGATGTAGGTAGGTATACCTACCTTATAGGTTATACCAAATTTGGCGGCGCTGCGCGCCGATTTTTTACACACGCACACACACACACATACGCACGCACAAAACTGGGAAGTGTGGCAAAAAAAAAAACGCCCCTACCCATCGGGTGAAGACTAGAAACCCGACCCCCCCCCCCCACTCAAAAATCCGTGGCGACGCCCCTGGACGTGGGTCCAGAGGCCGGCAATGGCCCTCAGTGATCGGGACCGCGCGGCGCTCGGAAGCCGGCGGGCCCCATCAAAAGGCGATGTGGTTCGCAAAAAAAATGTGTGCGGGCCCTCGTCATAACTGCAGGGGCGTAGCCAAGGGGGGGGGGGGCACACTGGGCTTAAGCCCCCCCTCAAATCTAGCAGGTGCCTTCCACGATCATGGGCGCCTTCTACGATCAAAATGGGCGCCGCGGGCGCATTTTCAGTGTCCAGCACTCTAGCCTTCCAGGCGGTGGGGGGATTTTTTGCCCCCACCCCCCTTTAGTTTTTTCAATATATCTCGAGAACCGCTGCGCCGATCGTCACCAAACTTTCAGTACCCTCCCGTGAGCAGCTAGCGCACATGGTGACCAAAAATTGTTCCAAAGGCTATGATAGGTTAGCCGCTAATGACGTCAGAGTGACGTCATTTTTGCCATTTTCGACCCAAAAAAAGGTTTCGCGGGAAGAGCTGTCAGGCCTACAGCTTTAGAGATACAGAAAAATAATTCAACATAAAAGGTGTGGAATCAAAAGGGCTACAAAACTGCTATTTCGGTTTTTCGAATTTTTGGATTTTGACCCCAAAAATAAAAAAATAGACTTTTTGAATATAATAGCCAAAAAATCCAAAAAGTTTTTTTGAATTTCGAAAAAAACCGGAATATATGTGATAGTCCCTACCGCCTTCTATCTACATACCAAATTTGCGATCGATACCTCTTTTTTTGGCCAAGTTATAGCGAAAAAACTGTTCAAAATTGATGACGTCAAATTTTCAAACTCAATTTTTAGCAATTCTAGACCACGTAGCGCAAAACAAAGACCACCATTAGACTCCCCGTGACGAGCTGCATGGAATCGATACCCATGTTATGCAAAAATATCAACTTTGAAATTTGACCTTTTTGACCTGACCTTGACCTGACCTCCACCAGAAAGTGACCTAAACCGTACCTGATGGTCTTATAACCAACACCATTGAGTTGGAAATGAAAAACTGGCCATAAAACATGCATCGCATAACCTTAGTAAAGTTGGGCTCATGTGGTGACCCTTGGTGACCTTTGGTGACCTGACCTGTGACCTGACCTGGTATGACCAGTGACCTCTAACAGCAACAAATGTACTAGACAACTGACGCCTTATCGCTGATTTTCGACAAAATGCGTTTTACTCGGTGTTATAGCGCTTTCCCTAGAAGCCCCGTGAACGGTGAAACATTTTATCTGTGACCTGACCTGTGACGTCATCGGTGACCCCGAGGTTTCCTGCTACATGTAGTAAAACACCCAACCCTCCTATCAGTGTTCTATTACCTTCTTCCTGGTGTTCATTTAGAAGCGCGAGTAATTTAAGCGGGGAAAGGACTAAATTAACTTTCCTCAAGTGCTCAGATATGTACTGTGCAAGTACACCGCTAACGGTGTCAATATTTTTCTGTGTGTGGCCTGTCGGCGCCCTCTTCACATTCGGCGCCCTCCGTGCTGACCAGTCAGCGCCCTCAAGGACAATCATTGATCACACAGCATCCTCCTGATCTGTCTGCGCCCTCCACACATGTCTGCGCCCTCCTGACCTGGCTGCGCCCTCGTTACGTGTTATAGCACCCAAGATACCATAGCACCCTCCTCACCGTACAGCGCCCTCCTAACCTGTCGTCCTCTTCACTGTATAGCGGCTTCACTGGGCTGCGACGAGTTGTTCGCGAAAAACCATGGGGGGGGGGGGTCCATCCGACCCTCGCATGTGTAGTCGCATGTGTAGGTCCATTCGACCCCCCCCCCCCTACACATGCGAGGGTTTAACTTTGGACTCTAAATTCTGCCATAGAACTGGAATTGCGCGATCGGAGGGTAGAGGGCGGGGTCACCGCAACAAGCTTCGCTTAGCAGTGGCCCTGTCCTTGTGAATCCTTCCTATCAAAAGGTTCGGGCTGAATTTATAAATTAAAAAAAAGTATTCGTCTAGGGTGCTCGTTGGGCCGTAAAAGCTCCTGGGCCCAATCTTACCAATGCCGTGAATAGGATTTGGCAGCACTGGCCGGAGTTTACGGCACTGATATCAAAGATGTCCTTTTTATTTACCTCCAGGTAATCTTGTCCAATGATTTTGATAGCGTGAATGATTATAAATGTCGCCAGAAGGAATGAATAAGTGAATGTGGAATAGTTCTGAATGTTACCAAATGCCGTGAATGCGCATTCACGGCATTTGGTAAGATTGGGCCCTGATTTCGGCTAGTCTCAGCTCAGCCTAAGCTACGAAACTGCTATTGCAGTTCAAAACCTATAGTGAACTATTTCCTTTAAAATGTGAAGCGCCTAAGCGACCAGATATGCATCGAAATAGATGCGTCTAAAATAGGATCTTATCATTCTCTGTAGGAATATTTAGCTAGACTCGGTAGAGCGCTGGACTCCCGGTAGTGAAAGCCCGGGTTCGAGTCGCTCCGGCGCTCGATATTTGAAACTCCTGACGGGGATGGTCTGCGGTTGGTGGGAGCAGCCGCAGCCAGTTGAAAGTCAGGTGAGTGGGACAGGCCGTGTCCGGCTTTAAAGGGCACGTTAAACTTTGGCGTCTAAATTCTCCCGTTACCCGGAATTGCGCGATCGGACGGCAGGGGTCAGGGTCTACGCAACAAGCTCTGCTCAGCGTAGGCTCCGGCTCTGTCAATCCGTCCATTCAAACATTCGAGCTAAATTTATAAAAAAAAGATATGGAAGCCAACATGTGCACACCGAACTGCTACTTGGACCTGCATGCCTCTCCCAGTCCCGACAATGACTGGTTAGATATTTGATGCGTAGTATCAGAGCTGATGTATCTTGTGCCCTCCCGATTCCCGAATTACGGCGTCATCATGTGACAAGACAGCAGCAACAAGTGAGACGCAGCAATAACATTAGTAACCGTGTGTTGTGTAGTGTATTGCCCACATACCCCACTGGTGACCGATATCAATCTTTATCACAATGTCAGAATGTAAAGTACACGTAACGCATTTTACCTACATATTACGCAATTAACTAGCTACGGGATTCACTCGGCATAATCTGGCTGCATACATCAATCGAAAAGAACACTCATAACGTGAAGTGTGTGAAAAGCGATACCACAATACCACAATAACGTGAAGGATTGTATATTTTCTAAGACACATACATAAGAAAAGACAAGAGCTTGTTCGAAACGAGGATGTCGGATTTTAAGCATTATACGTATTAGACATGATTGTTTAAAAGAGTGCCAAACGAGCTCGCTGTCTTAATTCTAATCACAGCTTAGAACTAACCTATAATAGGTATAAACATGTAAATGGATCTTCTGTCATTCCAACAACGCATCTACGATGAAGGGCGGGCGAGAGGCAATTTTTAAGTTAAACTTTGTCTCGTCAGCTTTTGATTTATGCATTTGATTTTATACATTGCTTGCCTTTTCCAACATTTTTCTCTTACTTTCTCTAAGTTTTTACATATCGAAGGAGCATGACAACTTTTACTCGTAAGCCGTTCACCATGTTAGCCGTTCCGTTAGGCGTTTTGAAATAAATTATATAAATCGCAAGCTGTTTCGCGAAACGTGGCCACGGGTAGCAGCCAGGCTTTATATCGACCCGTTGTATAACACAACAGGTACTAAGCAGTAAGCACCCCGAGGGATTGCCAACTGCAAAGGCGATTAAGGTGAAACGCCTTTCCGTAACAGGCGAAAGGTTCACCAAGTGCGAGTGAAATGCTGCATTTACGTAAGGTGTCATATTTGGCTGGCGTCGTATGAATGAATGTCATGTGCATTTTGCATTATTTACACTCAAAGGCACTTGGTATCAGCACCCAAAAATCACTCAAGACCGGACCCTTAAAGATCTTCACACAAACCGAAGGGATTTGCCTGAAGTTCTAGCTTTCAAGGCATGCGTTAGCAAGCATGTGCAGTAAAATGCTATGTGAAATAATCGATGCGTGAGTATACATAGGGTATCTCAGAGTGTGTTTAGAGTTTCGGCGAGCCATTTGATCGTGTTCAGCGCGGTATCGTTTATTTTACACGGCAGCACGTTGCACCGAACCAGTTCTGGTCATTGGAGGCCGTGTTGTACTCCAGACGAACAATACCGGTGGCAGCAGGAAGCTGGGGGCATTTGAACGGCCACCTGTCAGCAGCAGAGGACACATTGTCAGACTCGGAGCTCCAGCCCGAGACTGCATCTCGGAAGGCCTTACTTCTCATCGGATTGATGTTAGTTTCTCTGGAAAGTGGAAACCAAGATTCTTACAGATAGTGAAAACTGTTCCAAAACATTATCGAAATCATCACTCACTTTGAAAAGTCGGTCAGGTCCTCTTTGGCCACTACCCAGTGCTGTTTGGGATCGGAGACGGTGAGGTCGACGCAGTCCTCCTCGTCTACGCGATATGGTGGCAACACGGGAGCACACAGCATCACCTCTGGATTCCGGAAATACTTGTCCTTGTCTCCGAGGCCGACAAGGACAGAGCCTTGTTCACAGCGTAACGGAAGCTGAGGGTACAACGCCGTCACGATGCACGTGGCTTCAATACACATTTGAAGCGTTACTGATTCCCGGTAATAGGCAAATTGAAATTGAAACTGTAGGGATGCTCAAATAAGAGCACGATACAAGGACATGAACTGAAGCCTTTGGCGTCTCGACCATCGGCTTCATTTAAAGTACGCAGAACTCACTTGATCCATTGCCACTTGGGTTGCTTTGCCGAGAACCAGGTCGGGCAGGTGGGCGTATTCGGAGCAGAATACCGCATCCAGATTCTGCAATAGACGGGGTTTCAGGCAGCGAGCTTCCATCATATCATATCAAACCAGATATTTGTATTTCTCTAAGCCATGATCAAACGGGTCGAATTTCCATGCATGTGTGAGCGGCCGGCCGGCCCCGCGCGACCGTGTGGACGCTTTTGCCATGGCTCATATCTCAGCAACACACTCAAAACTTTTTTACCACCTCCTGGAGGATTCATTTTTACCAAACCCGCAAGATAAGAGTATATTGAAAGGGTACCTCGCTGCTACCATTATGTACATGGTAACGGTGCGTGGTTAAATTGAAGTTATTCGCCAGCAAAGAGTGTTATTACCATGTAAATATCAATATTACTCTCGCAATCCTGAACATGACGAAAACTCTTTCCTCCTGGGTATCGTGACTCGTGTGCAGGTGGTCGTTTCATGCGTGGATCTTGTTTACCCTCGTGAAGATAATATTTGAATGAATATCAATCAGCCAATCAAAAACGAGATCGGCCGTTTGAAGGTTGAAGGCCGCGCGCATCTGTCAGTTTTCGGCCGTTGGTCTCCGAGAGAGGATGTGAGCAGTGTCGGTGCCGCGCGGCGTGGCCGTTGGTGATACTTGTGTGCTGTTCATCGCCTATAGAGCCTCTGTGGACATTTTATTGTAAGTACCGATGTGATAGAGCATTGCGTGCTGTTGAGGGGTGCTAATTTGATCTGGCTAACAGAACCCCGTGCACGGCCACGTGGCAGAGTGTTGTAAGAAGGTACATAAATTTTGTTGTGATGCATTTTGTTGGTGACTTACAAAAAGCCATGCACTGTAGTGATGCAGTTTTATTATCCCACGTAGACGGGCGACCACCCAGGAACGCTGGCGTTCACTTCAAATGTTGTGGGGACTTATCCAATTGGAGGGAGCTGAATTATTATTCATATTCGAGTATTCATTTTGAGTATTCGTATTCAAGTTGCTTTCAAGTTGTATGATTATCGTGATATTTATTTACCGCGTGTGCATCGCTGAGCGCGTATGAGTAAGTGGAGAGTCTCAATGCTCATGGCTGGTGAACCCCTCGTTGTTTGTACGAAATGCCAAATATATATTGTTGCTCTTGAAGCATGTTTTTTAGTTGATGAACTCCGGTTAACAGAAGCTTCGCGAAGCTTCTGAAGAAAGCGTCTGTGGGTCCGTTACCATCCTCTGGGGGGTTTACACTAAAGGAAAGAGTAAACATTACCATGTGACTAAGGGTAAGCCAGAAGGATATACTCTCTGTAAGAGGGTAAATCACAAATTAGATGGCATGCTACTCTTAAGAGGAGGGTCACGTCAAAGAGTTACTCTTCCAAAGCGTGTAACTTCGAAAATGTTACCCTCTAGACGAGAGTAAATCAAAAGAGTTTATCATACAGAAGATGGTAAAAAACGTCTGTGTGTCACGTTACCCCTCCCTGACGAGTTTACTCTCCATGAAAGAGTAAAATTTACCATCTCGAGGGTGGTAAAAAACGTCTGTGTGTCAAGCTACCATGCTATGGCGGGTTTACCCTCCAGGAGATGGTAAAAAAGTTTTCAGTGCACTTGACCGATTTACTTGCGGACATTTTTGTAGGGTACCTTCATTCCTTAAATTCTAGCAAGTATTGAACTATTCCCGATGCATGTGAGTGACCGGTGACCCCTTATGCACATGCCACGTGCAAAACGAAGAGGTGCCAGACGCCAGTTTTGTAACAGTTGCAATATCTCGGGAACTACTCGGCCGATTACGCTGAAAGTTGGCATGTAGGTAGGCACCCACTAGGCAATGCACATCCATGTGCCAGAGTTGGGGTGCTGCTGCACGTGCGCACGTGCAGGGGTCGATTCCAGATCTCGAGCGGCATGGACCGATTGCGCTCAAATTTGGTACACGGTTAGGGACCAGTTGGTGGGTGCCGTGCACAAGTCAGTTGGGACCCATTTTGCACGTGCGCACGTGCAGGGTGCCGCTTCCAGATCTCGAGAGCGGCTGGGCCAATTGTGCTCAAATTTGGCACATCGCTAGAGACCAATTACTAATGTGCCGTGCACTTACCCCCGCTGAAAGGGATCCATTACCCCGAAAGGGGCATGTCTCATCAGTTGCCGACCCCTGCACTAGGCAATGCATTTTCATGCGCCACAGTTGGGATGTTGCTGCACGTGCGCACGTGCAGGGGTCGATTCCAGATCTCGAGAATGGCTGAACCGATTGCGGTCAAATTTGGTACACAGTTAGGGACCGGCTAGTAGGATGTCTATTGTCTTGCACAAGTCAGTTGGAGGTACGTACATACACCCTCACAATAGTTCGCACCATAGGCGTAGGAACAGGGGGGGGCCGGGGGGGGCCATGGCCCCCCCCACTTTCGGAGGTGGGGGGGGCCAGCAATGTTAACTGCCCCCCCCCACTTTTTGCTGACTTAAGTGTCTGTCTGTACCTACCACCCGGTAACTTGACAACTATTCAGCTTGCCCTTTGAAGATTCCCTTGTGTTTCTACAGCGTTATTGACCGCAATTTCCCTCACTCAATGAAGGAAACCATATCAGAGACAAGACTGTGAGTCCTGGTGACAGCATTTTGTTGAATACCAAGGCCGTATATAGGCCTTGGTATTCAACTGGTATATAAGTTGAATACGAGGCGCGGGACAGCGAGCACTGAAAAGGTATAAGACAAGCACGGTGCAGGAGAATGCGTATACAAACGACCAACGCTTGACCGGATCTGCTTGGGGTCGGCATAGTTCGTCAAAGGCGTACTAGCTGGGGGCCAGGGTGACCGTGCCCCCGGCTCGGTTTAAACAGGCTGGGGGCCAGCAATCTGCCCCTCCCCCTTCCACTTTCAGTGCAGTGGCGGTCGCAGAGGGGGGATCAGGGCCATGTCCTTCCCCGGGAACGATCTCCAACGATCTCAAGCACACCGAAGCGTGATTTCATGCACTCCTTGCAAGGTTCGATGCGTCACTTTTGCAATGTTGACCTTGCGCGACGTCATTTATGAAGTTATAAGGGCCATATTAGTTTTTCGTCAATAACTACCGATCAAATTGAGCTAGCGAGTCGGGAACGCCACCAATGGACTCAGGAAGACAGCCGAATCGAATGATATGCGACATGACCTCCTTCGACCAATTTCGTGACCTGGGGGCGCTGACCTGACCGTGACTAACGGTGAGGTTAACTTGAGGGAGGTCAACTCCCTAAATTTACCTCACCCAAACAAACGAAAAGTATATCATTCGACGCGCCTGAGAGAGGTGAACACGATGCCGGCAAAATCGCGGCTCTGCGGCCGTTTTTTGCGAAGTTATTCACCAAAAAACGGAAACGTGCCTTGAGGCACTTGACCTGACCTCAGAGATCACCGGTTGACCCAGGAACTTAAAATCGGGTATCGATCTCTGCGTCTTGTAACAGCGCACACGCTCGTTATTTTCCGCGACGCGCTAGCTCCACCTGGAGCGTACCCGCCTCCCGCCCCCTCGGCCGGCGCGTATGTAGAAAACCTATAGGTCCGAGCCGTCGAGGGTTAAACTGGCCTCTGAGGGCCCAGACCGGCCTCTAAAAGTCCCACACTGGCCTCTGACTTAGTCAATCTGCCCAGTTGCAGTGGTCGCTGAGATAAAACCCCTTAAAAACGTTATAGGCCTGGCTGAGCCTAGCTGGGCCGTCCACACTGTAAACCAAATTGACAAGTCTTGTGTAATATAACCAATCATCTCTTGGTATGTTTACCAACTGATACTTTTCAAACAAGCCGTTGTCTGGTGCATTGCTTGCCAGATGACAACTACGAGTCAATAGTTACTATGCACACCAACTTCTCAGTATCCAGACCAACTCTACATTTGTTTCAACGTTTGTTTCTTAACCAGTTTTGGAAACTTGTTGCCGCATGGTTATTTAACCGGCGCCTAACTTGTACTGGTCAGCTGGTCAGCATACACATGGTCAGCTGCGCCCGTGACGTCAGACTTGGCGGACCAATCAGCGGTCGCCGTCCGGCCCCGGCGCGGCGGTTTCAAACCGTTCAAACCAGCAGTTGTCGCGCGGCCGCCGTGCAGCATGGATCAGCGACGAGGGCTGTTCCAGCATTTGTGCAGTAAAAAGTGAAATCTGTGAACTGTGGTGTTCGTGCTGTGAGTCAGGCCCGCTCTGGCCTGCGGGACGCACTAATCGTGCCTATACCCGCGGTCGAGACGCCTCCCTTCCCCTGCGCGCGCAATGTAAGTGGGCCAGACCTTTGCATGCACATGTGAGCAGATGTTTTGCGGTCGGTGTTTTTTATATATAAATACATTTATTTGCCTTTAATTCAACTCTTTGTATTTTTAACTTAACTGATGGACATATATGGGCTGTAAAAGCTAATCTGGTTGGCGATCATGCTTTATTCGAATTATCTGCGTGATCGTGCAACTGCCATGATTGTTATGGTCAATGTGGAAATATTCGTCATACGGGCATGTTATACTTCTGGCTTGATGCGATGCACAAAACCATGTTCTTCCACATACGCAGCAGTTCTTGCTTCAAAGACTTATATGCTGACGGTGCACGATAGGTATACCTTATACCTCATGCATTTACCACATCCATTCGAAAATATGCACTTGGAATTGTCTCCAGTCAATAGTATTAATTACATACTACGTGATGTAGGTACGTGACCGTAATAAATACTAATGATTCCAGAAACTTCCGAATGGATGTGGTGTATGCATTCATCGATTATATAACCCATCAGTATTTCGTTTCTTGTCAGCGCAAGCCTTTGGGCAATAACTGATGCCAGTCATGATTTTGTGCACCACTTCCAGCCAAAAAATGACCTGTCCGTATAGAAAATATTTCCTGAATCGGTATCGTGGCAATTGAAAACGAACGCGAATCGTAAGTTCTTAAGGTTATCAACGCAAACAAAGCGATTGTAAGGAAGAACAAGTTCGAACTGAGCGTTAGTACACTTACTTGTTGACAATTTGTAAACT